GTGGATCCTGAGGTCCCTAGGAGATGGTGGATGTGGCAGTCATGCGGTGAAGCTCACTTCTTCCTGTCCACCCATCTCCCAGCTAGTCAGAGCACTTCATTCTCCCCCGAAGGTCTTTTTTCTAACGGACCCCAAAGGGAGCGATGGGTGGAATAGTCCTTCCTCTTATTATTTTGTCCACCAATTAGACCTCATTTCCGACACACCAGTTTTGGTCCCTTGATTTCCAGCCCCACAGTTCTCTTGTTGACCAGGCATGATCTTAACACTATCCTTGAGTTACTAGTTGGCCTTTCTGTTTTGGCTCATTCAGTCTGTCTCCCTTTCATCAACATTCCCTGTTATGAGTTATTGGAACATTTGATCAACTTTTTGTCCACTTACCCAAAGTTAAGCTTACAATCAGGGTAGGCGTACGAGGCCCAAATTATTACAACAGGCTCCACTAGCCTAGCTGGATCATACCGTGGTGGTTTGTCTTGCTTTCTCCTCCCCTTGAGCCATTTCTTTATCCCTTCTTCTCTCTATGCTTTTCATTTCCCCTTCATCTTCTCCCTCTCTCTCTCTCTCTCTCTCATTCTTTTCTATTCTCTTCCTCTGCCCCTCCTCCAACCCCTTTCCCTGGGGCCTGTGTGCTCTTCCCCTGAGTTTCCCCAGCTCCTTCCTCCAGCCCCTTTCCCTGTGGGCCTGTGTGCTACTTCCCCCTGAGTGCTTCCCGTGCAGGCTGAAATTGTGGAAAAGCAGCATCACTTGCCCCCTACACCTCAGGCGAACTGACGCAATGCAATGCCATCCACAGCCTAGAAACAACTAAACAACTGACACATCATAATCAAAAAGGCTGACAAAGGAGGTGCTATTGTCATCATGAATAGGTCGGAATATGAACAAGAGGCTGCTCGGCAGCTCTCCAACACGAGTTTCTACAAGCCATTACCCTATTGGGATCCAGGAAGTGGGCGGGCGGAGCTCGTCCACTACGAAAGGAGCCCCCCCCCCAGCCTAAGGGGGAGATCCACAGGGCCTGGAGAGCCAACTAGTTACGGGGGACAACTAATGAAAAACAGGGACGGGAGTGCGGTCAAAGGGTCAAACGAAGGGAACCGGACGGGGACACCGAGCAGAGAACCCCGGACAGCGCCCACTGCTCCTGCAGGAGTCTGGTCCTATTGGGATCCAGGAAGTGGGCGGGCAGAGCTCGTCCACTACGAAAGGAGCCCCCCCCAGCCTAAGGGGGAGATCCACAGGGCCTGGAGAGCCAACTAGTTACGGGGGACAACTAATGAACAACAGGGACGGGAGTGCGGTCAAAGGGTCAAACGAAGGGAACTGGGCTGGGGGGGTCTGGGCTGTGGGGGGACGGGACAACCAAAACATAACTCAAAGGGGGAACTCAGTTCAGAAAGTTTGCAAACCGCTCAGGGTGCAGCGAGAGGGTAGCTCGGAGCTGTGTGAAGTGAAGGGAGTAGCTCAGGGTGCAGGGAGGTGTGGCTGGGGCTCTGTAGGGGCAGGGGGCTCCTAGTGGAGCTCCCAGCCTCAATGTGGGGGCGCTGGGGTTCCCGGCTTCAGCCATCTGCTGCTCCTGGCTTGGGGGGCACCAGCTTCAGCCCCGCTCCGCTCCTAGCTTCAGCACTGGGGCTTGGGGGCACCGGGTTTCGCCGCGGGACTCTGCGGCCCCCCTGGAAGGGCTCGCGGACCCCAGATTGAGAACCGCTGGTCTCATCTAAACGCTGTTTGCATTTGACCCTTCAGATCGCAGATTATAACCCAGCACACAGATCTCTGAGTGCAAGCCAAATCCTTCCCCAAACTGACAGTTTAAACAGTAACTCCCTTTAGAAAGAGCAGGATTTTTGCCTTAGAGCAGAACAGTGTACTTCCTTTGTTTTTTATCTACAGCGAGAGATTGAAGAAGCTCAATTGATTTAACTGAATGGAGGTTAAGAGGCGATTTAATCAGCGTTTTAAATACATTGTTTTAAAAATTCCCAGAGGGGGGAATCTGTGATTTTAAAGGGTTCCTTAATTCACCAGAGGAAGGTTGAACAAGACCCCTTTGGCTTGAAGTCGATGTCACAAAATCCCGACTGGAAATGACCATTTATAACAGTGAAGCTAATTATCCAGCGCCACAAGCGCCGCAAGGGACGGGGTCGATTCCCCATCACTTGCAGTTTGTAACTTAAGGTCGCGGCTCTGGCTGCGAGACACCCGGTGTGTGGGTGCCCCTGTTCCCCTTTTATAACCTCCAGTACATGGGATCCTTCAGGATCCCCGGCGTGCGGGTGCTCCCCCCCCCATCCAGGATGCCCGGTGGGTGTGTGGACAAAAAGAGACCGCGTCTCACCGGCTTGCCCAGGCTACGCTGCAGGGACTATTCACAGGCGCGATCCCACTAGGGCTCGGCAGGGGGGTTTTGACCTGCTCCGTTTCCGACCTGGGCCGGTTCACCCCTCCTTAGGCAACCTGGTGACCCCGAGCTCCCCAGGGCTCACCATATCGCTGCCGAGCTTAGTGCGGACACCCGCTCGGCACCGCCCGCCGCAGCCTAGAACCCCCGAGCTCCAGCGATCCGCCGGCCTCAGCCTCCCCAGGAGCTGGGATCACAGGCGCCTGCCACGGCGCCCGGCTGGGTTTCCCCGCTCCCATCTCCGGCTTTAAACGGCGCTGGGGAGCTGTGTGCCTTGGCCAGACGGGGGCAGGCTGCCATGGGGGAATGCTCCTGCTCCCCCCGGGCTCTCCTGTCGGTGTGTGGGCTCCGCTGTCCTCCCAGAGCAGACCCGGGTCCCCGGCTGGTTCGGTGCCCGCATCCCCCGTCCAGGAGCCCAGGTGCGGGGAGCCCCGCCCCGCATACAGCATCCTGGTGCCCGCTGCCAGGCGGGACCGGCTCGGCGTAGGAACGGGCCACTTTCTGCCCCAGGCAGCTCGAAATTTTTAATCCTGGTTTTGCCATAGCGCAGCTGAATCCTGCGCCCTGAACGAGATATCCCACGTCCCGCTGCCGCCCCTCGTTTGGAAATGGGGGAGCGGGCAGCTGCGCTGAAGGACAAGTGGGCTGTAGCTCAGGAAAGCTCATGCTCAAACAAATGGGTTAGTCTCTGAGGTGCCACAAGTCCGCCTGTTCTTGTCGAGCATGCTCCGTTCAGCTGCTGAAGCCGCTGCCCTTCCCCCTGCCCTTACACCCGCAGGCTTGCGCGGGCGGCTTCTGACGGGGGGCAAAGGGGGCGAATCGGAGCTGGGGCGGGCAGGGTCTGAGCAGGGGGCGGCAACTGGCTGCTCGGGGGCGTCAAGCAGCTGGAGGCAGCAGCAGGAGAGGGGCTAAAGGCAAAATCAGGAATGCGGGGGGGGCGCTGGCAGTACAGCGGCCCGGGGCGAAGGGGAGCGTGGCGCGGCCCCACCGGCAGCGGCCGTCCCCCCCCCCGCCGCGCGGGGCTCTCGGCGCCAGCACGGAGCCGCCCCAAACGCGCCGCACAAGTTGGTCTGCCGGGGCGTGCCGTAGGGACGAGCACTGCGCATGTGCGGCCGCTGGTGTCTGGGAGCGTGAGGAGCCCGGGGTGGGGGTCGCGGTGTGTCAGGGGCGTCCCGCCATGAAGTCCCGCTTCAACACCATCGACATCCGGGCGGTGCTGGCCGAGCTCAGGGACAGGTAGCGTCAGCGCCCGGCCGGGGCCCGGGGGTGTCCGGGGACCCGCCCCCGCCGAGAGACCGGGACCCCTCCCTCAGACCCCCCCCCGTCCCCACACGGGGTGCTCCCGCGCGCTGGAACCCCCTCCACGGGAACAGCCCCCCCCGACTCTGCCGCCCTCTTGGGACCAGCCCACTGCCCCCCAACCACCCCGACCGGTACTGCCCCCCCAGGGGAACCCCCGTATGGGAACCCCCACCCCCCCAACCACCCCGACTGGTACTGCCCCCCCACAGGGGAACCCCCAACCACCCCGACCGGTACTGCCCCCCCAGGGGAACCCCCGTATGGGAACCGCCACCCCCCCAACCACCCCGACTGGTACTGCTCCCCCCACAGGGGAACTCCCAACCACCCCGACCGGTACTGCCCCCCCAGGGGAACCCCCGTATGGGAACCCCCACCCCCCCAACCACCCCGACCGGTACTGCCCCCCCACAGGGGAACCCCCGTATGGGAACCCCCACCCCCCCAACCACCCTGACCGGTACTGCCCCCCCACACATGGGAACCCCCCACATGGGAACTCCCACCCCACTGCCCCCCAGCCACCCTGACTGGTACTGTCTCCCCCCATGAGAACTCCCCCCATGGGAACCCCCACCCCATTGCCCCCCAACCACTCTTCACCCCGTCACACGTGAGAACGCACCATGGGAACCCCCACCCCACTACCCTGTGTGAGAGACTGGGGAACCCCCCATCCTACTGCCCCCTGGGAATGCCTCTGCCCTACCAACCCCCCCACCCTATGTGAGAAACTGGGAACTGCCCCCATAGGAGCCCCCTTGTCAAATTTCCCCCTGCCCCCAGGAACCTCTCACCTCACTGCCTGGTGTGGGAGACCTGGGAACCCACAGCCCTCCCACAGGAACCCCTGTTGCCCCATGTTAGAGATCTGGGAACCACCCTACCCGATGGATCCTTATGGGAACTCTGATGCTCCATAACATCAGTTGCCCCATGTGAAAGGCCAGGAGAACCCTGACCATCCCACCCCACTGTCCCCCAGGGGAGCCCTGACATCTCCAACCCCATTGCCTCGCATGGGAGCCCTGATTCTTCTGCACACACACCCATTGCCCCATGTAGGAGACTAGGGGCGTCTTGACCCCTGTGCGCACACAATCCATTTCACCCCACTGGAGCCCAGACAAACTGCACCTCCACCTCCATTCCACTGTCCCTCATGGACGTCCTGAGACCCCATCCCACTACCCCCTGGACTCATATAGTCCTTCCACCCAGGAGACCCTGATACCCCTCAAGGTGTGATTTACATGGGAGTTTTATCATCCATGTTATGCTGTCTTGAATAACTATGAATGAAACAGCAACGGCATCAAATCTCAGTTGTGCTTTCTGTGGTGGTGCTGAAAGTGTTTTAGTCCCATCCAGGCTAGCTCTTCAAGCATTCTCAGCACCTGTTTAGCCAGATGTACTGCTGACAGTCATCAGCCAGGGGGGCTAGTTTGCTAATGTAAGTGGCGCTTCAATGATAAATTGCTGATGCAGAGATATGCATATGCATTAGTGTCTCATAAAATGAATTGTTGCTGAAATTCTGGAGTTGCTTTAAAGTCTTGTTCAAGTGGCTATTCTATTTTAGTTCCTTTTTGCATTTATTTCATTAATAGTGCTCCCCGCATATTCTAATTGTATCGTAATTTCTCCTGGAGCTTGTCCATTTTACTGCGTCTACCCTATCACCTCTTCAAATGCTATTTGTATAATATATTGTAACCTGGCAAACTTATTTATGTACACATAAATTCAGTTGTCACTGAATCTTTCTGACAGGCTTGTATGAATTCTATACTGGATTCACAAAATGTATTTATTTTTTATTTAACAGCTTATTGGGAATGAGAGTAAACAATGTCTATGATGTGGATAATAAGACCTATCTTATTCGCCTTCAAAAGTAAGAACTCTTAACATTTGTGAGCTCTGTTTTATTCCTCCTTAAATTTGAGCCTATTTGTCTTGTATTAATTGCTGCTTATCGAGCCTTTATAACCAGTTTGCTAAAAACTAGTTTTGTGGTGTTCCCTGGAAGAAGAAAAATATTTTTATCATGGGAGTTCTTAGGAAATATCACAGGAAGATAATTGTTTTTGCCCTTTTTACAAACAAAATACAGAAAATAAGTGGAAGAGCAGGTGTGTTTTGCGCCCAAAAGTTTTTTCTCGTAAATACCAAGAATAGTGCATATGCTGTGGTAATGATAAGCAGTTATGACCACAGGAGTTGCTGTTCTGAAGCAATGAGTCTGTGTAGTCTGATGCTTTTTACATAGGGCCAGAAAAGTCCCTTTTGGTCACCCAGTTTCTGTGTTGGACTGTTAGCTTTCTCTTTTCCTATTTGTAATGCACCTGACCAACTGGACAGTGCTCTGGGTGGGTGGCCTTTCAAAATGACTTCCTGCAAAAGGTAATCCTGGATATTTTTGGAGTAATCAAGTAACCTCAGTATATCTAGCCTTTAATTTAGTTTATCTTAAACTTAGTTTTTAACTCCGTCTTTTTGCTACCAACCTGGCCTCAATATATCTCAACTGTTCTAATATTTTTGACCATAGCTTCCTCTGAAAGATTTCTTTGACTTATAGTTGAAGTTGTAGGGCTATCTGTGGTACTTCGGCGTGCAGCTCTAATGAAATGTCATTGGTATAATGACAAATTGGTGGCCTTTAAAGTGTCAAACTAGTCTTTATTTTGTCAACAGGCCAGACTGTAAAGCTACACTTCTAATTGAATCTGGTATACGGATTCACACAACAGAGTTTGAGTGGCCAAAGAATATGATGCCATCTGGATTTGCCATGAAGGTAAATTAATCTTTCTCTTTCTGAAATTTCCTTCAGAAGAGAGAGTAATGGTGTAGTTTCACATCTGAGATGTAAATGAACTATTAAAGTATTGCCAACTAGCTGAGTGGGTCTTGGTCAAGCAGATGATGATGATGTGGGGACTGGCTGAAAGAAAGGGCAACTGCAGAATGGTGGGGGACACAGAACTGATGCTTGGTACCTGACAACAGTCAAAATGTAGTTTTTAAGACTTAGGGTACGTCTACGGTACGAAATTATTTCGAAATTATTCTATTCGAATTTTTGGAAGTGATTTTATACATTTGGTCTTGTGTATCCCCACTAAAGAGCGTGAATTCGGTGGAGTACGTCCACGGTACCGAGGCTAGCATCGAATGTCGGAGCGGTGCACTGTGGGTAGCTATCCCACAGTCCCCGCCGCCCATTGGAATTCTGGGTTAAGCTCCCAGTGCATGATGGGGCAAAAACGTTCTCGCGAGTGTTTCTGGGTGTGTGGTGTAAGTCTCTCCTCCCGCCGTGAAAGCTATGGCAGACAATTGTTTCGCACCTTTTTGGCGTGCAGACGCCATACTGCTTTCAGCAGACAGTGTAGTATGGTGAACCGCTTCTCTCCTGGTACTATGAATTCACGTCGCATTTCCTCTCCACTTTCTATGTAATCTCTATAAGTATCTACTCTTTCTCTTTTCTTCATCGACCGCTTCCGCTGCCAACTCTGCTCAGCCATTGTGAACTGAGCAGCACAGCTTCTGCCGCCAACTCTGCTCTACCGCTCTTGCCGCGCAACCGAGCTTCTCCATGTTGTCTGTCCTGGGCTCCCATCTCCGTGAAAGCTACAGAAGACAACCATTTCCCGCCTTTTTCCGGCTATCGTGAACCGAACAGCACCTCTTCTGCTGCCACTCTGCTCTCCTATGTTTCGCGCCCTTTTTCCAGGATTACCCGTGCAGGCGCCATAGCATGGCAAGTATGGAGCCCACTCAGATCTCCGCTGCAGTTTTGACCACTGTAAATACCTTGCGCATTATCCAGCAGTATGTGCAGTACCTGCAAAACCGGGCGAGGAAGCGACGACAGTGCGATTACAACAGTGATAAGTACATGGACACAGACGTTCCTAGAAGCATGGCATGTGGCGATTGGGAGATCATGGTGGTGTTGGGCCAGGTTCATGCCATGAAACGCCGATTCTGGGCCCGGGAAACAAGCACAGACTGGTGGGATCGCATAGTGGTGCAGGTATGGGATGATTCCCAGTGGCTGAGAAACTTTTGTATGCGTAGGTCCACTTTCATGGAACTTTGTGACCTGCTGTCCCCTGCCCTGAAGCGCAAAGACACCAAAATGAGAGCAGCCCTCACAGTTGAGAAGCGAGTGGCCATAGCCCTGTGGAAGCTTGCAACGCCCGACAACTACCGGTCAGTCGGGAATCAGTTTGGAGTGGGCAAATCTACTGTGGGGGCTGCTGTGCTGCGAGTAGCCAACGCAATCATTGACCAGCTGCTATCAAGGGTAGTGACTTTGGGAAATGTGCAGACCATTGTGGATGGCTTTAATGCGCTGGGGTTCCCAACTGCAGCGGGGTGATCGACGGAACGCATATCCCTATCTTGGCCCCGGAACACCAGGTCGGCCAGTACGTAAACCGCAAGGGTACTTTTTCATAGTACTGCAAGCACTGGTGGATCACAAGGGATGTTTCACCGACGTCAACGTGGGATGGCCGGGAAAGGTGCACGACACTCACATCTTCAGGAACTCTGGTCTGTTTGAACAACTGTAGGAAGGGACTTACTTCCCAGACCAGAAAATTACTGTTGGGGATGTTGAAATGCCTATAGTTATCCTCGGGGACCCAGCCTACCCCTTAATGCCATGGCTCGTAAAGCCGTACACAGGCACCCTGGACAGTAGTAAGGAGCAGTTCAACTATAGGCTGAGCAAGTGCAGAATGGTGGTAGAACGTGCTTTTGGATGTTTGAAAGCGCGCTGGCGCCGTTTACTGACTCAGATCTCAGCACAACCAATATTCCAACTGTAATTGCTGCTTGTTGTGTGCTTCACAATATCTGTGAGAGTAAGGGGGAGACATTTATGGCGGGGTGGGAGGTTGAGGCAACTCGCCTGACGGCCAATTTAGCACAACCAGACAACAGGGCGATTAGAAGAGCGCAGCAGGGCATGCTGCACATCAGAGAAGCTTTGAAAGCCAGTTTCATGACTGGCCAGGGTAAAGTTGTGTGTGTTTCTCTTGAAGTTACCTGCCCCCTCTATATATGTCACAATTGTTTAAAAACCATTCTTTATTATTTGTTGCACAACACATTGAGAGAAATCAGAAGGTAGACTGGGGGAGGGGGGGGTACTGGGAAAGGGGGGTGGAGGAGGAGGGAAGGACAAGTCCAGAAATCAAATCAAAATTTTGGATATGCCAGCTTTCTGCTGTTTGTGCAATCCTCTGGGGTTGAGTGTGTGGGTCCCCGTAACCCCCCCCCCCCCGCCGCCCGTGTTCTTGGGTGAGGAGGCTGTGGAACTTGGGGAGGAGGGAGGGCGGTAATACAGGGGCTTCAGCGGCAGTCTGTGGTCTTGCTGCCTTTCCTGCATTAGATCCACCGTACAGTGGAGCATGTCCGTTTGCTCCCCCATGAGCTTGACCATAGCATCCTGCCTGCTCTCATCGCACACATCCCTCCGCTCTTCGTATTCATGTAACGCTTTATGGGACTCCGCAATTGTTTGCCTCCACACATTCAGCTGGTCCCTATCAGTGCGGGAGGACCGTATGAGCTTGGCGAACATGTCATCCCGAGTTCGTTTTTTTCCGCCTTCTAATCTGGATCAGCCTCTGGGACGGAGTAGATAGGGACCGCATTGAAACATTTGCACCTGCAGGAGGAGAAAAAGGGAGGGTAGTATTTTAAAAGATATCTTTTAGAGAATAAAGGGGACACTTTCTCAGTGAAACAGACAATTCGTAGTACACAGCACATGTTTTTTCTGTACAAGGTCGCAGTTTGCCTCTTATACTGAAGTGCCTGCCACTTTGGTGTAAGTAAGCCATCACACGTGGCCGGGCAACAGAATTCAGCTTGCAGGCAGCCATGGTAAGCCCTAGGGGCACATGGGGTTCTGCTTCTTCCGCATTCATTTCAATGCTTTCAAACTGCTGGGCCCCCTTTCCCATAGCAAGCAATGCCTGGTGGGTTTGCCATATAAAAGGAGGGTCTGTGGGCTCTCTGGGATGATCACTTCACACAACACCCCCCCCCCCGTGTGGCTCCGATGAGGCTCTGAGCAGGGATGAGTCCTTTAAACTAAACGCGAACAGCCCAGTGCGGCGGGTTTCCTCCCACCGCATGGCTCTGATCAGGCTCTCACTCACCAGAAGTGCCTTCTCCAGGGTCATGGTCCGGGAGGCGACTGGGTCCAGTGTGAAGAATGGTCCTGGCTAGGGGGGAAAATGGATTCCCCACTTGCCGTCTGTGCATTGTTCTCCTCCTCCTCTTCGTCCTACAATAACTCATCCTCCTTGCTCCATGCAGCTCCCCCCTTACGGGTGTCCATGGACAGTGGTGGGGTAATGGTGGTGTCACCCCCCCATAATTGCACGCAGATCACAGTAGGAGCGGCACGTATGGGGCTGTGACCCAGAGCGCCCATTTGCCTCGCTGGTTTTTTGGTATGTTTGCCTGAGCTCCTTGATTTTTGTACAACACTGCTCTGTGTCCCTGTAGCCTCTCTCCATCATGGCCCTGGAGACTTCAGCGTACATATTTGCCTTTCTTTTTTGGAATGTAGTTCTGCCATAACAGATTCATCTCCCCAGCGTGCAATGAGATCCAGTACCTCCCACTCAGGCCATGCTGGAGCTCGTCTGGGACTGCATGGTTGCCTGTGATGGTGGATTGTGCTGATGGTCACCTGTGCTGATGGTGACTAAACTGGAAATGAAATTCAAAAGTTCCTGGGGCTTTTACTGCCTACCTGGCTAGTGCACTGGAGTTGAGAGTGTTGTCCAGAGCAGTCACAAGGGAACATTCTGGGATAGCTCCTGGAGGCCAATAACATCAAATTGTGTCCACAGTACCTGTAACCCGGACCTGCGATCTCAATTTTTAGCGCTACTCCACTTGCCGAGGTGGAGTACAGAAATCGGATTAAAGAGCCCTTTTAAATAAATTTAAAAAAACAAAACAAAAACGGTTTGGTTGTGTGGACGGAATCAGTTTTATTTTGAATTAACTCGGCTAATTCTGAAATAACTGCATACTATAGACCAGGCCTTTGATACTCAAGCTTATAAATGTTCACTCACAAGCCATGCCTGTTGGAATTTTACTTTGGCGAAGTGAATATATTATTATTTTATTTTGTTATATAGGCCAGATTCTGAAGCCTCTGAATAGGCAAAACCCAGAGTGAATGGGAGTCTTGCATAAGTAAGGACTTCTGAATTAGACTATCTGAGGTGTCAGGTCTTGAAGTGAACTATTAGGCTCCAGTTCAGCAAATAGAGCCATTGTGGATGCGTCTGATTGCAGAATCAGATTACAGATCTTGTTAGCTCCCCACTCCTGCGAAGAGACCGTACACAAGAGTGCCCATGAGGAGCTTCATTGAAATGCCTCTCTGCAAATCCCCCACTGAAGTCAGTGGGAGTCTTGTGGAAGCAGGAGTAACCCTGAGTGGAGGTCATTGCAGGATTGGGGCCTTAGGTTACACTAGCTCTTTCCCTCCTTGGGATGGCAGAGACATGCAGGTTTCAAATAGTACAGCTGTTTTTATTACTGTAAATGCTGAATGCTTAACAAAAATGTTTAATTTTTTGCAATTTGGAGCTACTATTTTTCTTTAACAAGCAAGAGTAGATCAGAGCTTGATGGTTGTCAAAGTTTGAGCAGCTCATGTATGTAATATTCAATTTTGTAAGTTTATACCAGGTCTTATCTTTATTCCACTTATTATAGACAAATACAAGCAAGATAAACAAGAAATGTTCAGATTTTCATGGGCATACACACACAGTCGTTAAATTAAATATTTCAGTTTAAAATACTATGAGTAAGACCTTTCTGTTTACACCTTATATACATATGCATATTTTAATATTTTTTTCTTCCATATCATCAGTGTCGTAAGCATTTAAGGAGTAGAAGACTTGTCAGTGTAAAACAGCTGGGGATAGACAGAATTGTAGACTTTCAATTTGGAAGTGATGAAGCAGCCTATCATCTCATTGTTGAGCTTTACGACAGAGTAAGTCATAAAACTGTTTAGTCTATAAATTAGTATTTAATATGGACTCTAATAATCAGTTTTGATGTTATTGCAGGGAAACATTGTTCTGACAGACTATGAATACTTAATTTTAAACATCCTGAGGTTTCGCACAGATGAGGCAGATGATGTCAAATTTGCAGTTCGGGAACGGTACCCAGTTGATAACGCTAAAGCATCTGCACCATTACCTACCTTGGAAAGGTAACTTTATTCTGTGCAACATGTATATTATAAATAAAGCAAAGACCATTTTTACATACAAAAATTTTGAGTCTGAATAGTTTGTTTTAAGCTTTGAACGTTGTGTAGGTGATGCAGTTCTCACAGAATTGAAATTGTTTGCTTTCTTCTCTAATTCAGAAAACATGGAAAGTCAATTCAACATTGTACATTTATTCTTTTGAATAGCAGCAATTCTGCTTATTATGTCTCTTAGGTTGACTGAAACAATATCAAATGCACCTAACGGGGAACTGCTAAAGAGGGTCCTTAACCCACATCTTCGTAAGTAATGGCATTATTACAATATGAAATGTGCAAACTGTTTGCATTCATATTAGATGTAATGTGAAAATTTAAAATAAAAAAGACACAACTGTGTTTCAGAAGGTTCAAGACAGTCTCCTATGTATAAAATGCAAAATTTATTTGTTAAGACTAGAATTTTAATACAAAGGTATAGAAACTTGGCTGCAATCCTTTAATATGCTTTATATGGGTGTAGGGATTTGTCCATGAAGCACTTATAGTATCGGGACCTTTGCTGAATTTTCTCAGTGATGGCTAGAATGTCTCATTCAATTTTGGAAATTAATCATTCTTAATACAGATTTCAACCTGAATGTTTAAACTGCTTCTATAGTTGGTTCTTTCTACTTTTATAGCTTATGGAGCCACACTCATTGAGCACTGCCTTATAGAAGCTGGATTGTCTGGTAATGCCAAAGTAGATCAACAGATGGGAAGCAAAGGTATGTAGGAGTATAATATTTGTGCACTTCAGAGGTTTGCTTGACTATATTTGGAGGGGCAGAGAAGACACCTAGGCACCCTTCACTGAGGAAGTAAAAGAACAGTGGCTTTGTTTCATGGAAAAAGGGTGCTCGGCCAGGATTGGCTGAAAATGCTGAAGGGAACTTTGGGTGAGAGAACCTTCCACCGAAAGATGTTTAACTTGTTAGTTAAGCTTGGTCTCTAAAAGCGTGTCATGATTTATTTATATGTAACCATTGGTTTCCAATATTCATACTCACTACTCTGTGAATCTCTAATCTGTGATAATAAACTTATTCTTGTTTTCAATATAAATATATCGAAGTGCTGTGGTGTTAAGCAAAGCGGTGGTCCTCAGTTGAATCTTAAAAGCTGGTATGTAGTGTTCCTTTGGGAACAGCAGGCCTGGTAATTCTGTGAGCATTCAGTGGATAAGGGCCTGGATGCTGCAGGGAAAAGTCCGAGGATTTGGAGACTGGTGTCTGCTTATTGCTACCTGTCCAGAGAAAGCAAGGCCTGGAAGGCAGTGCTTGTGTTGCCAGAGACTGGTGGTTTCAGGGAGCTGACCCACAGCAGGCACAGATAAGACTGCTTCACACTAAGCAGATAGTGGTGAGGCACCTCACAACCCAGGGTACCCTTGGGGAGCATCACAATGGATATGCAGTGTAAGTTTTTACAGGCTGGAGACTACTTTAACACTATTCTCTTAAAGCCCTAGCCTTGCTTATATACTAGTATTTTTCCATCCCTTTTAGCCTCAATTCTAAATAGTTAACTTTATGTCATATGATGAAGTGCTACTGTAATTGTGATACTGGAAGGATTAATAAGGGACTTACTATACCAGAGTCATGTGCCAAAGTGTTAATCATGAAAAAAATTATATATTGATTAGAAAGCAAGATGGTGGATTTTGAATGAATTAGAACAGTTGCTTTTGATTTCTTTGGAATATACAATTATGGGTTGAGGCGGTAAGGTCAGAATGATTAGTTCTGTAGTCGTACTTTGCTATGAGTGTTTTTTTGGAGGGGGAGAACTATGTTAATATGATGATCTGTAATTAATTAAAATAATGTAATACCTGATATCTGTTGTTATCTGAAGTGCTGTAATAAAGAAGGGAGTTTTATGGCTAATGTTTCAAAAGTAGGGACTTTCATTGTACACCCTTGCCAAGACAGGTAATTGCATGCATCCAGTCCTTGTTTTTTATGTGCGATTATGTGTTTATGCCAGCACTCTTATATTTTATGCATGTAGCTGCAATACGTATTTTTTAAAGAAATATCTCAAAGTTTAAAAAGGACACTAAATGAGGCTTTCTTCAAAATGGACATTTGTTTCTAATGCAAGGAGTTGATGGTTAAAGATGCTTATTAAAATGCGGACTTTTTTGAAATTTGCAAGAATCCTGGTTTTAGAGTATTTCAGAGAGTAGGATTATTGAAAATCTCATAATCCAGACTTCCCACAAGAACTGTATATTGGAGAAAATTCCTCTGTACCCCTGGCTAGAAATGCAGTTAGTAGCAGAGGTTAGTTTTTGGTCTGTCAAGCTTTAGCCTTTATTGGTTAAGTAGTGCACTATGTGTTTATGTAAAATATCCCAAAATTCTTGCCTCTTCAAAATCCATTTTTTCTCCTTTAGAAAATATTGAAAGGGTACTTGCTGCTTTACAGAAGGCAGAAGAATATATGAAGATAACTAACAACTTTAGTGGAAAGGTAAATCTTAATTGATATCTGCATAGTTCAAAGTTAAACCGTCTAAGAAACAAACATGCATTATTGTTCTTCTATCATGTCAGACATTTGCTATTGGTTTAGCATGCCTATCACATCTTTTCATGTTGTTGTCTTTCTATTTTTGCTGCTCTGATGTCCTCCAGATACTAATAAGGAATACACCGGACCCTCGCTAGAACGTGGGATTTGGGATCCATACACAGTACTGCGTTAAAATGAATTCCAATTAAAGTAATTAAATTTGGGATCCATTGCTGCAACCACATTATATGCGAATTTGCGCTATATAGATGCACGTTCTAGCAAGGGTCCGGTGTGTATATATGATGCTTGTCTTGGACGTGCAGCTTGTAAATGAGCTAATGGAGTAAAAGGGACCTATCTGACTTGTGTGTCACCATTGTATTTAAATACTGATAGTAATTTTAATGTATGAAGTGTTCAGGGATATCAAAATAATCTCAGTCTGTAGTTCAATGAGGAACCAAAATTTAATTTTGCAGTTGTGTGTCTTCAAGGTATTCATGCGCCTGACGAGCAATATGATTGTAATTTATCCTTCTACATCGATCTTAATGCAACTTGGGAATAAGGCCTGAGTAGAAAGACTGCCAATTACCAGTAGGTAATAGAAATCATTCTTTAACCCTGGGAATTTAGTCCTAATTTTCAAACGTATTTATTTATTTATTGCAATAACTATTGAACATCCTCTGTGGGCCCGTGCCAGTGTTTCTGATCATTTTCACTTCTTGTGGAAAAATTGTGCTATAGCCCATCCACTCCTCTCTCTTCCATGTTCTGAGTCTGCTGTCTTATAGCAAGTTCTTCTCTAACTTCAAGGCGGAAAGGATTGCTCAGTTTATGGTACAATTCATTCTGATTCTGACTTGCCCATCACTGCATCCTTAACAAACAAGGGTTGTTTAAAATGTAAGGTACAAAGTTTGTGTGATGCATTGTATACTTGGGTTTGTTATAGAAGTTCAGTGTTCATTTGGAATATTTTAGAATAAAGGTGAGTGGCCAAAATTTTACCTGCAAAGTCACTTAGCACCATAAAGTCTCTATGAAAAAAGAGCTTACCAGCGGATTTAGTGTCAGATGTTTGCAAGGTGTTAAACTGTTCCTCCTTGGGCAAGAAAGGAAAAATAACTTTTAAGATTCCTGGAAAGAAATGAGTGTGAATGTGGTGTCTTATGGGGTTTTTTTTTTTTAAGGGTTATATCCTCCAGAAACGGGAGAAAAAGCCAAGCCTGGAGCCAGATAAACCTGCAGAAGAAATCCTCACGTAAATATTTGAAGTATTAACTCCCTTTCTTGCTAGAAAACTAATTTATATTAAGCATTCAAGTGATACTATCAAATGTATATTTTACAGATATGAGGAATTTCATCCTTTCTTGTTTTCTCAACATCTAAAGTGTCCGTACATGGAATTCGAAACATTTGATAAGGTATAGTGGTTTTGCTGATACAGTACTAAGTAGTTCAAATGACTGATACTAAAAACGTGAAAGAAAATATGGTGCTGGAAACTATTACGTTTTTATGCTTTATGACTAGGTAGTTTGGTGTGTAAAATCAGTAAGTATCATAGTAAGATATAAGCTAAATAAAATATTTCTTGGTAACTACAGATGACCCATTTATGTTCCCAATTTGTCTGTCATGTCCAGTAATTGGTGTTGTAACTGTGTTGGTCCCAGGACATTAAAGAGACGAGGTGGATGAGGAAATATCTTTATTGGACCAAGTTTGTGTGTCTCACCAATAAAAGATATTTCCTCACTCATCTTGTCTCTCAAATGTCCAGTAACTGAAATATAGCATGTAGCATTGGTGAAAGACGTATTTGTGTCCAGAACCAAGCTACTCTCTGTCTTCACTTGTTTAAACATATTTTGCTGGTGGTTATATAGGTGTTTATAGACAGTTGGTTTATAGCTGAGGGTAATAGCAAAAATATAAATATGATGAATGTTTGACATGGAATTTCACTAAAAATGAAATCTTTGTCCTTTCTGGTTCTTGGCTAACTAAGGTTAACATAACCTATAGATATTTTATACTAAATCTGATCTCTAGATTCCCTACTTTGCACTCTCCTGCCATGCCTCCCCATCATGTTTGTACCACCTACCTTACAGTGCTGGTGATTTCCATAGCATAAATAAACTCAGAAACTTTATTGTAAGCAGTTTCTGCCTGTTGAAACCAACCACAAAGAACTGTATTGAACTTCATATGCTTGATTTGGAGATTCTGTTCTTATTAACCAATTGATTATTATGCTTATGCTCAAATAAATTGGTTAGTCTCTAAGGTGCCACAAGCACGCCTTTTTCTGTTTGCGAATACAGACTAACATGGCTGTTACTCTGAAACCTTGATTATTATGAGGGCTCGTTGCAGAGATGGCTGTACCTACGGTAGTTTCACAGTTGTTACATACTTAGATTAAAGAACGTGTTCCTTCCTTCACTACATCATTTGCTAATATAGAATTTGGCTCCAGTTCAGTCCCATGGTTAAAGCTAGGCCTGTGCTTAAGTACCTCGCTGAACTGTCCCTTGACTAGGTAGAGCAGGGGAAGTGTGTTGAAACCTAGTTTAGGATCAGACTCCTTTTTGCAGTCATGCAGTCTCCTCTTAAGAACAGAACCACTCCTGTCTGCTTATTCTTTCCTGATCTAGCTTATTGCATCCTTTGAGATCCTTTAAACTGACTTTTTCTCTTGAAGGCCGTGGATGAATTTTACTCCAAGCTAGAAGGTCAGAAGATTGATTTGAAAGCTTTGCAACAGGTACAGTCTCATTCACAAGCAGAACAGCTGATTTAACTCCTTTAGAGCTTCAGGATGCTGGACATTTGTCTGATTTAGGGGCCCTTGCTCTTTGTAGCACCATGTGGGTGCTGTCTTGTTCAATTAAAGATAATGGGTTGCTTTGTATGGGGCAGGTCTGAAGCTGCATGCACCAGGGCAGTTCTTGTTGGGAAATTACAATCACTATGACAGCTACTATCATTAGTGTTACGATGCTTCCGTGGATTCCTTTTAAACTGTGCAGACACGGCATTGAATAGCTAATCAGCAAGAACATAAGAATGGCCATACTGGATCAGACCAAAGGTCCATCCAGCCCAGTATCCTGTCTATGAACAGTGACCAATGCCAGGTGCCCCAGAGGGAGTGAACCTAACAGGTAATGATCCGTAATGAATGGAGTGCCTGTCCAAAAATCACTGAAGTGGCTTTCGCTACACTTTCTATGACAGTGCTCAACAAAATCCTGTTTCCACTTCTTTCCTCTCCATACTGTAATAGGATACAGTTGGGTGTTGAATATCTAACACTGTAAAATTTGTAATATGCAGAGTCGGTTGGCGCTACGCCCGGCTCATGAGACAGCTCATGGTGTCTGACACCATCAGGTGGTCCAGAGACCTCTACACGGAGCACGTCATGGGACACTGTCAGTACTAGGATGAGTAAACAAAACCACCGGTCAGGGAAATAACCCACTTCCTCCCCTGACTGACTGACTAAGGGATGCACCCCCACCCATGTACCTATTCGCTACACCAACACTGACTTGGACTCTAAATAAATTTTATGGGTTGCATACCTGAGATCACTTATTCACTGATTTTTTTAAAAACTCCAGTCTGGGTCTGTGCTGGTTATGTGCTATGTATGTATCTTGTGAACCTTGTAACCAATACTTGTAATCTCTCATAACTCAAGCCTGACCCCAGATGTACAGTACCTTCCCTCTGAACCTGTGTAAATTTGATTTTAAACATTAGCTTTAATAATCTTTTTCCTTTCTTTTCTTTGGCTGTCGAAAGGAAAAACAAGCACTGAAGAAGCTGGAAAATGTTCGTAAAGATCATGAGCATAGACTAGAATCTCTTCATCAAGCTCAGGTAGAGCTATCTGTTTTCATAAGACAAGTTTTAAAGAGAAAATATTTTTAATATTCCATGTAGTATCACTTCCACCATAAGTTGTGTTCCTTAGTGTTCACTTGAGATAACAAATCGGAGTATTTATTCACTAACAAGTTCACCAAAAAGGGAGAGAAGCTAGAGGGAAGTGTGAACTGTAGTGATGATACACTGCTTCTTGTCAATGCTTTGCGTGCCCTTGGAAGAGGTCATCTTTTGAACAATGTGTTTAATTTTAGTGCAGCTGTATTAATTGTATAGATTTGTTTCTTTAATCATCATTTTTATGAAATTTAATTGGTTTTTAGTCTGAATTGTAAGAGAGCTTTTTCTTTCCTGAAGGAAATTGATAAGGTAAAAGGAGAACTCGTAGAAATGAACCTGGACGTAGTTGACCGAGCTATCCAGGTGGTCCGCAGTGCCTTAGCCAACCAGATAGACTGGACTGAAATTGGAGCAATTGTAAAAGAAGCTCAGGCTCAGGGAGACCCTGTTGCGAGTGCAATCAAAGAATTAAAGCTTCAGACAAATCATATCACAATGCTACTAAAGTAAGTATGTTGTAGATCAACAAGACATTAAGAGGGACTAATCCCACAACTAGCAAGTTAACTAGGAAAAGAGCATCTTCATTTGAGCTTACATTATTTTGTCAGTTAATATATGTCAAATGTATTCATGGTGCTGGGTTTTAGCAACATTAAAGCGTGAGTGTGAGGGCTTTGTGAACAGACAGAGGCACTGATCCGATATGCACCTTTCTTTCTTGGTTTTCCTTTAGTTCAGTAACTGAAATAGACTCTTCAAGCATATAAAAGCAAGAGTTAACTGGTCACATTTTAAAAGTGGTGGGAAATGTCTAAGAGGAAAGGGCAGTAGTGAGCAAAAGCACTTTTACCTGCATGTCCTAGGCAGTTCCGGGAAACGTGCCTCATTTGGTTTGATGCAACAGGCAACACCAAGCATATTATGCAAAACAAATGCATTTAAAAAATCAGTAACTTAAATAATCTTGACATTCCTTGATGCCCAAAAGAGGGAATCTAGTTGAAAGTTTAGCATGCTGTAGGCTGGCTGGACAAGATGGCCCAGTAAACAAGTTAGAGTTCAAAATTCAAACTGGTATGAGCTGTGATTTAGATCATTCTGCTCCCTCCAGGAAAATCATCACAAGAAGCTTGATACTGGATCAGTGCCTTGCCCTTGCGGACACTTAAAAATAAAAAAAACTAAATGAGGTACAAAACATAAGGGTCCTGCAGGTATCGGCAACAAACTAGAAATATATTTAACTGTGTAAATGTACTGGAAATCCCCTAAGCCTAAACCCAAATATAAGAGATCTTCGTTTGAGTTTATATATAGACCCCCCCACCCCCCAATTAGGAAGCCTAATAGAGAGTAAAAAACTGATAGTGGAAAATACCTTAAGTCAGTATGGAAAAGAAGGATATGAGAATTGTACCGATAAGCAAAAAGTGAATATAGGGGTTTCCAGATATATATTCCAGCTTTTGAGTAGAATGTGGGGCTGAAATAATCTTGCTTCTGCTCACGGTCACAATTTGCTTCCTGTATTATTTTGAGGAAGTTCTATGGCCTGTGTAATGCAGGAGGTCAGGCTAGATCAGTGGTCCCCAAACTGTGGGCTGTGTGAAGGAATGTCCGGGGGAGGCGCAGTGGGACCTGGGCCAGCCTCTGTGGGGCGGTGGGAAGGGAGCACCACCTAGCTCCACTTTGCCTCCAGTTCAGCTCCGGCCGTGCTCCTGCTCCCGGCCGTGGTTCAGACCCCCTTCCCATCTCCGGTCCCTAGTCTCGGCTCCCGACCACAGCTCCACTCCTAGGCCTTGGCCGTGGCCACCAGGTTGGCCATGATTCCACTCCCGGCCCAGGAGTGTGGGGGGGCATGCACATTCCATTAGTGGTATGGGGGGGCGTGCAAGAGGAAAAGCTTGGGTACCACTGGACTACATGATCACAATGGTCCCTTCTGGCCTTGGAATCTATCAGTGTCTCTGCTATTTCAGTTTGTTTCACAATATGAATTAAGGTCACACAGCTAATCATACACATCATCTAAAGACAGTTGAATCTACAGAAGATAATGGAAACAATAGTATACTTTGCTGTGTGATACAGAGAAAACATTATTTATGCTGTATGCTCCTCTACCTCCTTAAGGCTACACATGTCAAACATAGCAATAGAAGGCAGAGTTTACTGTGCTGATGAATAGCAAAGGCAACTCAAAGTAATACATGCTCAGAATAGCTTCATGATAATGGATCAGATATTTCACAAAATCTCAGACCGTTACCTAGCTTGCATTTGCTTTGATTAAACATAATGAGCCACTATCTAGTCTTCATTTTGCACAAAGATCAAGGGTAAAATGTCCTGTATTTGTTTCATCTTTGTTCTCCTTCTCCTCCTCCTGTGTGAAAGTGCATAATCAAAACTGTTATAATTATACATTTATCTTTATTCATAACCATAGAGCCTTCTTCAGATTGAAAACAAGAGTGTGTATCTTTTGTAATATTATTTACAAAATTAATGGAAGGAGGAATGCATCTTGCTAACTTTTACAATAAAAAGTCTGGAGTACTTTTTAAGACAATCAATATACGTTTATATTTTGATAGAAACCCGTATGTATTATCGGAGGAGGAGGAGGAAGAAGAAGATGACGAAGCTGATCATTGGAAAGAAGTTGAAGAACCAAAAGGGAAGAAGAAAAAGCATAAAAATAAACAGCTGAAGAAACCTCAGAAAAACAAGCCATTGTTGGTTGATGTTGATCTCAGTTTGTCTGCATATGCCAATGCTAAAAAGTAAGATTTAAAATGTGTATATTTTTAGTAGTCTGCTCCTTAGCTTAATTTCAATAGACTCTGCTACTATCATAGAAATTAGTCTTTTTCCTACAGAAATATTTAGAGTGTGTAGCCTTACCTTAGTTATAGACTGTCCATTCCTCCGCCCCAGAATGTTGTCTTGCCATTTCTGTGTTAACCAGTCTCTGATAATCATTTTAATTTAATCTTAATTACATCAAGCATAGAAACAGACACAGGACATTATGGCTACGTTCTCTGCAAAGTAAATATAAAGGCAGGGCTCTACATTTCTAGTGAGGGTAATAAATTAGTAACTTCATTTCAACTGATACAATTTTCAGATTCACAGTGATAGGCAATAGGCAAAAAAGCTAAGCCAAACATAACATTTTCCTTATCAGAATGAAGTATTTACTGCTGGCACGAAGTACCGTGGGAAGAAATAGCTCTAAAAATGAGTTAATATACTGGGATCTGAGATGTAAATGAATTTGTGTTTCACAGATATTATGATCATAAGAGACACGCAGCCAAAAAAACACAGAAGACAGTAGAAGCTGCAGAGAAGGTATTTATTATTACCTTTTCCTGGTTTGTTTCAAATGTACCTTTTTTGTGTTAATACTGTTACGCTGATTTAATGTTTCAACCCCCTCCCATCAAGCTTGCCAAAACAATTTAACCTACATGTAGGGCTGACAAGTTGCAGCCTTGAATCATTTAGTTTCCATCAACAGTTATGAACTCCTTAAAAGCATTTTATAATGGAAATGCTGACAGACCAGTAGCTGAGGCAGCATTAACAAGAACCATTATGATCAGGTAGCTGATGTTATTTTCAGAACACACATTTTAGAGAAACTACATGACAGAATAATGGAGACATGCCTTTTCAAAATTATGAAGATTTTAAGACAGCCGTTAATGAAGTGCCTCTGATTTTGCACGGGCAGAAATTGTTTTTAGGCCTGCAAATTGAGTTATGTGCAAAACGAGTGACTATACTGTCTCAAACTACATTTTGGGGGTATTTTTCTTCATATTGTCTTACTGTTTGGCTATTGCTTGTATGATCACTGCATTTGTAGAATTGGGAATGTCCATATTTCCTAAACAGGCATTCAAATCAGCAGAAAAGAAGACAAAGCAAACATTGAAAGAAGTTCAAACAGTTACCACCATTCAGAAAGCAAGAAAGGTTTATTGGCAAGTAAACTTTTGATAGTTACCCTCTCAGATGAGTGTGTGAGTCTGTGTAAATTTAAAAGGACGTTGTTGACATGAAATCTAATTTGTTTTTTAAAAAAAGAGTTAAAAGTAGTGTTTTGGTACTACACCCACCCGTATGTCCCTTGTCAGTTGTTGTGGTTTTAGTTATAAGCCCCAGTCCTGCCGGTAGATCCACCTGGGTGGGGCCCTTCAAGAGTGCTCTGCATGGGTGCGCGGATCTGCCTATGTGGATCCTCTTGTGGGATTGAAGCCATGTTTTCCTAAAATTTTAAACATTTTCTCTTTCTGCAATATAAAAGATCCACACAAACAACTGGGGAGACTGACTGTACACAAAGTGATTTTAAATGCACACAGAGTAAACATGGAAAAGAAATACTTTCTCCCTTTTTATAAACAGCTGTTTTAAAAGTAGCAATTATAGTTAAAAAAAATAGATTGTGAGATTTGCTTGATGTGTCCTTTTAAAGAATATGATTGACAGTCCAATTACATTTGTACAATACCTTGAATTTATGCCATATACATATGTATGAAACTGTAGCTGATCAACAAAACGAAGTATCTTTGAGAATACCTGTCTTTCCACCTGTAATACATTAAAGTACTGAGACCCTGGCAAAAACCATACTTTCTGTAATAGGCAAACAGTTCCAGTTATTTTATACAGCGTGGTTTGATGTAATTTGACAGGTTTGAGAAGTTCCTGTGGTTTATTAGCTCTGAAAATTACCTCATTATAGCTGGAAGAGATCAACAGCAGAATGAAATGATTGTGAAGCGATATTTGAAATCAGGTTAGTAAGATTAAATCAAGCATGTCAGCATAGTTTTTGTTTTCTTTGCTGATTGTTATAAATGCTTGTATTGTAAATCCAAAACTGAGGAACACTGTTAGATCTTTATTAGCTTGTGTATAAAATTCAGCTTGCTTGTACGCATTCTCATTTTGCTACATTGTCTGGAATTTCAGACTGAAGTTCTTTGGAGCTTTATAATTATGTCCATGTGTGAGGTGTGGTATGGAATGCAGCTTCACCCAATAGTTTTGAAATTGCCTGAACTGAGTTAAAAAGCAAACTAACAGACTTTACCTTTTGCAGTTGTACACTGTTCCACATGGAGAAGCATAAGACATGGACATAAGTTATAGCTAGTATTTTCCTGCAGCAGTGGTTCTCAACCAGGGGTCCTGGACTCCGTAGGGGGGCTGCGAGTGGATTTCAAAGGGCTGCCAAGCAGGGCCAGCATTAGACTTGTTGGGGCCCAGGGCAGAAAGCCAAAGCCCCACCTCATGGGGTTGAAGCCTGGGGCCCTGAGACCAGCCACCACATGCTGAAGCCTGAGCAACTTTGTTTCACAGGGCTCCCTGTGGCGTGGGGCCCCAGGCAGTTGTCCTATTTGATACCCCTAATACTGGGTCCTGGCTTTTATATGCAGAAAAACAGTTGTTGTGGCACAAGTGGGCTGTGGAGTTTTTATAGGATGTTGCGGGGGGCCCTCAGAAAGAAAAAAGTTGAGAACCCCTGTTCTACAGCAGAATACAGAATTCAGAAGTATTGCAATATATTAGCATACCAAAGGTCTTAGTTCACCATGATATTGATGTCAGAATAAATGACAATTAGTATGGGGTATAACTGACAAGTAGACATAATTACTTCCCCTGAATATGTGAATGTTTTGGCAGTGCTCCAAGTAAATCAGTTTCTAATTCAAAGCTTGGAACCCTCTTTTAGTGATCAGTGCAGCAATTAAGTGTGCTCAGTGACGTGTCCCAATCTTATCTCTTCTGTTTTAGGAGATATATATGTGCATGCTGACCTACATGGTGCAACTAGCTGTGTAATCAAGAATCCTACAGGTAATTAAGTCTGTGGTTGGCTCTGATTTATAATCTGTTAAACACAAACAATTTGAAATTTAATGGACTTCAGTAAAAATGTACTGCTACATCCTTGTCCGCTCTTCATTTCACTTCAGACGTCGAGTTGACGAGGTTTAGTCTGAAGTCCTTCCTTATTAATGTGCAAGCCAGTGAGGAAGCCGTAATAGCACAGTACTTGTTTTGCGCAGGAAAATTGCCTTCAGGACCTGCCTCTGTAGATGCCCACTCGGAGATGCTTTTGTACGATGTCTGGTTACTTTTTTAAACGTGTGCTCAGCTAAGGCAAATGTGGTGGTGTTGCTGTTACAGGTGAGCTGCTCCCTCCCCGGACCCTGACTGAGGCAGGCACCATGGCATTATGTTACAGTGCTGCCTGGGATGCTCGTGTCATCACTAGTGCCTGGTGGGTCTATCATCACCAGGTAAGGAGATCTTGCCTGTTCGTTTCGCGAAGTTAATCTCTGAAAGAATGAGTGTGGAACTGTCGATGTAAATGTCACCACCGATGAAATTAAAGACTGAAAGAAACAGTTGTGTATTATATGTGATGGTCCTTACAAGTTCTCCCTGGCTCTACGACAGCGGCCTTGGTTTGTGAATATTTAGTATAATGGGCCCAGGACCCAAGAAATGCTGTGGGTTCAGCATCTTTTAAAAAGAGGTTAAAGGTCTGTGATGCGCTGCACTCATCTCTTGTGAGCGCCTCCTGTGGGTGCAAACCTGCACTCTCTCTTGGCTCAGGGTGCCCGTTTCCTGTTGCCCTCATCAGGTGGGTCTTCAGTGGCTCAGCCCTCTGGCTAAGTCACACATAGGCCACGGCTACACTATAGAGTTTACTGTGGTGCAGCTGCTCTAAGCCAACAGGAGAGAGTTCTCCTGTCGTCTTAAATACTTCAGCCTCCACGAGTGGCAGTAGCTATGTCGTGGAAGAAGCTCTTCTGCTGACATAGTGCTGTCCACGCCGGCGCTTATGTCGGTGTAACTTGTCTCTCTCAGGGGGATGATATAAGTTATGCCAACATAAGCTGTAGTATAGACCTAGCCATAGTCTAAATGCAAGAGGGAATCCCTTCCAGGTGACAAAGTTCCAACACGGACTATCACTGTGCCCAAGTAGGCATCTGTGGCCCTGCCTTTGGGCTCAATTCTCAGCCCCTTCTGGGCTAGCTTTCAGTCTGTCCCTGCCCTGTTAGAGAACACTGGCCCCAAGGCGTTCTCCCTGGAGACTTTGTCATCAGTAGTTCTCTGGCATCCCAGCTCTCCAGCCAGTTCACGCCTTAACTTCAGTCCCCTTCTGGCGGTAACAAAGTTGAAAGAATGGTTGGCCCTCTTCAGGGTCTTTGGCCCCATCCCTGGTCCTGTTTAAACTCCCAGCCCCTTTCTTGGGCTTTTTATGCAGAGTCTTATCACCTCCTTGAGACTTAAGCCACTTCTCCTGTGGACGGTGGGGGAACCCGGGCCCACCCACTATTCCAGGTCCCAACCCAGGTACCTTATAGACAACAGCCACATACTATTTCCTCTACTTGGTTGCTGCTGGTACTCCTGGATGGCTTCCCACTCGGTCCCATCACCTTCACCCATTACCTTAGGTCAGTGGTTCTCAAACTTTTTTTTTCACGGACCACTTGAAAATTGCTGAGGGTCTCGGTGGACCACTAAATGATCTTTCCAAACATTGTTTGTACCGTTAGCTAACTATTGTAAAGTGCTTTAGATAAAAGCACTATATATAAAAAAATTAAATTAAAAAATTAAAAAAATTTTTGTTCTACAAATAAAAGCACACAACTCATATTTTAATATCAGTAGTCTTACCTTTCTAATGCAATGGATGTGCCCTCTCTCTCCTGCTGTGGCAGCCCCCGAGCTGGGGCTGGGAAGGAGGGGGGCCTCTCCCTCTCTCCTCCGCCGTGGCAGCCCATGAGCTGGGGCTGGGAAGGAGGGGAGGGGTATCTCCCCAGCCACAGAGCTGAGGCTGGGAAGGAGGGCCGTCTCTCTCTGGCAGCCGCAGCCCTAGCCCTGGAGCTGGGGAAAGTCTCCTCCTTCTCTGGCCACCACAACCTTGCACGTTCTAAATTCCGCCCCCCCCCCCCCGTCTCACTCCACTGTCCCCTCCCACCTACCCCCTATTTCCCCCAAAGGCCACTACCTCACCTTACATGTGTGTCTTCTCCACAGTCCAGGAACCTAATTAATGGAGCCATGCCTGCACGGCTCCACTAATCAGGTGGGTGGCCGCCCAGGCGTGCACCTTAGAGGGAACTATCCGCGGACCATCTGAATGGAGCTGGCAGACCACTGGTGATCCGTGGACCACAGTTTGAGAATCTCTGCTTTAGGCTATAGTCCTTGGGTTCTACTTTCTTGTTCCCTGTTTGCGCAGGGTCTCACCCAGGCCTCCTTGCCTGGAGAGTCTCTGTCTTTTCCCTTTCAGTCCCTGTCAGGAACTGACTTGCTCAGGTGGCTGTGCTGCTCTTTTTAACTGAGCCTGCTAGGGTCTGATTGGCTGCTCCCCTGCAGCCTTTCAGCACAGGCCTGGAGGACCTACCTTTACTATGCCTTTTCTGGAGCGGAGTGTGGTAGGACCGCAAGGCCTCCAGCAGGCCTCCTCAAAGGGCGTGGTGCACCCCAGCACAAGGTCAGATTGGGAATGATTTTTAAGAAATGTAATCAGTTTTTAATGTTCTGTTAGAACTTTAATTCACATATTAAATAAGGGTTTGTTTGTTTTGTCGTAAAACACCTAGAACGTTGGAATGGGCAGGCAACATGAAAAGCTGATCTGTTTTCTAGATACAGTCATTTGACATAATTTCACCAAGCCTGCTGTGGTTTACCCTTTTCAATATGTTCTTTCTTCATGGCACTGTATTGTAACTGAGGCTAGCTCATGTAAACATTTCTAGTATCTCTACTTAGGTATCTGTATGTGGTTTTAGTTGTGTCTTGGGCACTAACAGTGAAAGACTGGTTCCCAAAAAGTTGTTGGAATCTCTCACTGCTTCCCTACCGGGAAAACAATTTCTCTCTGCTGTGATTTGAACCTGTAATCTCAAGACTGATTAAGGACTTTCCCTCTGGCTAAGAAGGCTGGTCTCAAAAGGAACCTCCTGCAAGCAGAGCACAGTATTGCCCTGGGAGCAGTGGAATGGGGAGTCTTCCATTGCAGAGCCCACTTAAGTTAGGTCTGGGAAGAAACTGAGGGCTTGTCTTCACTACTGGGGAGATCAACACCCCTACGGGTGTTAATTTAGTGGGTCTTACTAGACCCGCTAAATCAACAGCAGAGCGCATTATTCACGTAGCTGGAGTAGCGTATCTTAGGTCGACTTACCCCGGAACTGAAAACAAGCCCTCAGATTCATAGATTTTTAAGGCCAGAGGGGACTGTTATGCTCAAATCTGATCCCCTGCATAACACAGTCTATAAAATTTTATCCAGTGATTTCGACATCAAGGCCAGTAACTTCTGGTTGAACCAGAGCATCTTTTAGGAAGACATCCAGTGATGATTTAAAGGCTTCAGGTGATGGGAGGTTGTTCTTCAGCAAATCCTCCCTATAATACTCTTCACTTTGTGAAGTTAAAAAGCTCTCCTTAGAAATCAGAAATTCAGTTAGCCTAAATGCTCATTTTTATTACCGTTATTACTCAGTGAGGCACCGTTTTCTACGGTACTTTATTAAATATACAATATGTGATGCTCTTCTCAGGTGTCTAAAACAGCACCAACTGGAGAATATCTGACTACAGGGAGCTTCATGATAAGAGGTGAGAACTTGAAGAGAGACCATCAATTTGTAAACCACAATTGTCCAAAAAATCTGTATCTTCTACAGTGGCAAGGATCACTGCAAGAAGCTGGCAAAATATGTTTATATATTTAAACCACCTTTATGTTTTCCTTTTTTTCCCCAGGGAAAAAAAACTTTCTTCCACCTTCATATCTTATGATGGGGTTTAGCTTCTTATTTAAGGTACTGTCCCATTCATTGGTTACATTTGTCTCCTTTTTGTTACATAAACATAAAGCTGTAATAGTTCACAACAATCCTTAATTCCCATAAGCACCATTCCCTTCCAGTAGGTCACTATCATTCTGTTTGCTCTGAATGGAAGAGAAACCTTTAATCTAGTTCATGAGAGTGGGCATGCAGCTCAGAAACAGCCAACTGAAGAAACAAACTGGGTACAATGGGCTAAGCTTATCAGAGAAGCTGCCCCTCTTTAAATACTTCCCCCCTGCAGTGGGATTCCTGTTTTTAATTATTTATTTAGAACAAACCCTGTGACCATGGCACCTCCAGATATTATTATTTTTTTTTTAATAACAAGTGTTTAAAGTGTTAGCAGGAGTTTGTGAAGCTCCCTTTTTGTGGGCAGTCTGATGGGTGTGTGACTAGCTACAGTGGGCTCCCACTAGCCTTCATCTTCTAGGGACATGCTTTCAAACTTTTTTCCCCTTTTTCCTTTCCACTGGTAAAGGAGCTCAAAAACTTAGGAGACTTTTACATAAAAATAAGGAAAAGAAATGGAAGTAGGCAAGTCAGTTGTTCCATATAAAGGCTGGAAATTAATCACTAGGGAAGGCAGTTTCAGGAATGTGTAAATGAGTTCAAGGGACACACAGAATTTGTTTCTGGAGAGGAATAAGATTGAAGGGCATGCTGAAAAAACAGGAAGATGATGTCAAGACAAATAAGGGACACTAAGATTTGCCAAATGGTTTCCACACAAGAGCTTGCATTAATATAGTAGTTTTCAATCTCTTGGCCAGATCCAGTCCTCACAGAACTCAGTGGGATTCTGTCCATTGAATGGAGCCCATGATGAACATTGTTGTTGGGCTCCTAAGAATCAGTAGAAAGATTTGAAGTTCCACGTGTTCATTCACTACAGTTTCTCATTGGGTTTGGTATAAGCCAGTTTCCTTGGAAATCCTTTTGCTCAATAAAAAGGACCTGCTTCTGTCATTTAGGTGGAAGAATCTTGTGTTTGGAGACACAGAGACGAACGAAAGATCAAAGTGCAGGATGAGGATATGGAGTCTGTGACCAGTAGTACCAATGAACTGGTGTCAGAAGAAGTGGAGCTACTAGGTATTATGCAGGGTTTAATGTATTTTACTGTGGGCATGCTGGGAACTCTTAAAAATACATTGGGATGTGCATTCAGCTCCCTGAATTAGTAATGTGGTAGTCTAGTGTCTGTAAACTGAAATGTCTTTTCCCCTACCTCATTTAGAAGAAGCACCAGAAGGAGATGATAGCAGCACTGATGATGAGAAGGCACTGCCTCAAGAAATGCCTGATGGTATTGAAGTCAGGTCTAACAGTAACCACGAGGAGGACGTTGCTCATGCAGACAAGGATGGAATAAACAAGCTACCAGCACAAGAGGGAACCTCTGAAGACTATGATGTAGAATCTGAAGAAGAGGCTGAAGGTCAGGAGCTGATGAGTGAAGTAAAGGAGGAGGAGATAAATTATCCAGACACTGCAATTGACCTGTCACATCTTCAGCCACAAAGGTAACCAAAAGAGCCTCCACATTTGTCAGCGATATGAGCCATTCTAAGAATGTCAGTGCCTTAAAACTATGTTTATATGATAAGAGGGATTACAATGAGTACATAAGATTTAATCCTAGTGTTTAAAGATGCAGGCTGCCTGAATACCAAGTAAAACAAGTGTATACATGTCTGGTAGTGCTGCCCCACCCTTCCTAGATGGTCTTCTCTACACAGTTACACAGTTCTTCATTTTGGGTTATCTTATTCCCCCTTCTCCTGACTGTAGTAACCACCGCACTAATGCATTCTCTGGCTGGGGCATATGTAGTATTTTGGCCATTGCCAATGCTATTATAGAATCATAGAAATGTAGGGCTGGATGGAACCTTGAAGTCATCAAGTCCAGCCCCCTTCCCTGAAGTGGGACCCAAGTAAACCTAGACCATCTCTGACAGGTGTTTGCCCAACTGGTTCTTAAAAATCTCAACAATGGGAATTCCATGACCTCCCTTGGAAGCCTGTTTCAGAGCTTAACTACCCTTAGAGTTAGAAAGTGTTCCCTACTATTTAACCTAAATCTCCCTTGTTGCAGATTAAGCCCATTACTACTTCTCCTATCTTCAGTGAACATGGAGAACAACTGATCACAGTCCTCTTTATAACATTCCTTAACATACTTGAACACTTACCAGGTCCCTCCTCAATCTTCTTTTCTCAAGACTAAACATGCCCAAGTTTTTTTAACCTTTCCTCATAGGTCAAGTTTTCTAAACCTTGTTTTGTTTTTGTTGCTCTCCTCTAGAGTCTCTCCAGTTTGTCCACATCTTCCCTAAAGCATGGTGCCCAGCACTGGACACAGTACTCCAGCTGAGGCCTCACTAGTGCCGAGTGGAGTGGGACAGTTACCTCCTGTGTCTTACATACAACACTCCTGTTCATACACCCCCAGAATGAGATTAGCCATTTTCACAACTGCATCACATTGTTGACTCTCCTTCAATTTGTGATCTACGATAGCCCCCAGATCCATTTCAGTAACGCTACCGCCTAACCAGTTATTCCCCATTTTATCGTTGTGTGTTTGATTTTTTCTTATTAAATGCAGAGTATTTCACTTATCTTTACTGAATTTCATCTTGTTGAATTCAGCCCAATTCTTCAATTTGCTGAGGTCATTTTGAATTCTAATCCTGTCCTCCAAAGTGCTTGCAACCCCTCCCAGCTTGGCGTCATCTGCAAATGTAATAAGCATACTCTCACTTGTTGTTCAGGTAATTAATGAAGATAGTGAATAGTACCGGACCCAAAACTGACCCCTGCGGGACCCCACTAGATACACGCTCCCAGTTTGACAGTGAACTGTTGATCACTGCTCTCTCAGTAGGGTCTTTCAGCCAATTGTGCACCCACCTTGTAGTAACTTCATCTAGACCACGTTTCCCTAGTTTGCTTATGAGAATGCCATGTGGGACTCTATAAAGAAAAAAAAAAAATCAAGATATATTGGCTAGGGGTGCTTCAAGCACAGGGCATTTTACAATTTTTTCTACTTGGGGAGACCAACCTTCTTCCACTTAAGTCTTCTACCAGGACCCAGGAAATGGGAAGCCTAATATCACTTCTGTTCTTATTCAAGATGGTAGTGAGTGAAAATTATTGCCACCTGAAATGAGATGCTGATCTCCAGTTAGTGCCAGTGGCTAATCTTCCTACCACTTACCCTGCTGTCTTCACAAATGGCACTACTTAGCAGCTTGAAGGGAACGAGATGAATGGGCATAAGAATGAACCACTCTCACCCTAGACATTGAGGCACTTAGGGGTGAGTCGGGGAAAACTGCCACCCGTCCTCCCAAGAAATCAGACTTCAGTTTCCAATTCATTCAGTCTGGGTTTATTTAATAGGTATTACAGCTGTAAAAATAATGCTTTGTGTGCGTGGGATTTGTGTGCATGCAATAAAGACCTAACAGGGGAAGATCTCTGAGAGCCTACTTCACACTTTCTCTGTCACTTAATTTCATTTATCACAGCTGGGGCTTTCAGAGGCACTCAGTTTCCTTAGGCTCCTTTGAAAATCCAAACTCAAGAGATTTGGATTCAATGCTAGGTTAAATGTGTCTGGTCACTAAACAAAGAGACTTCATTACCCATTCTAGAGGGTACATTGGGGTGGTGTGCAAAATCCCCTGGATGCAGCATAGTGCTGACGCTCTTTACCTGTTCAGAAAAGGAAAGGATCTTTCCTGGACATGATGCCCAATAGACAACTCTGAATTAGTTTGTCTCAGTTGTGGCAGCTGCTGCTATGTCAGGACTGTGTTATCAGACTGTTATTTCTCTAACAACATGCTGCACCTTTCAGTCTTCACAGATCCCACCAGAAAATGGTTACAAAAGAGGAAGCATCTAACCTGGTAAGCTCCCGGGTAAGATCGTCAAACAAGTAACACGGCATGTGATTTCTATGAGTGGAAATAATGAAATATAACTTTATTTCACTTTTTTAGAGTGACAGTAAGTCACATGGGAGAAGACACTTATCAGCCAAGGAGAGAAGGTAAGAATGTCTTCATTTTAAGGAAGCAAAGGTCTAAATATCTCCATGTATGAAAGTCCTCATTTCTTAAGGAGGAGTTAACCTTTTTTGAAGAAGTCACTTGCAGTGTGTTTCTTGCCCCTTGAAATTAACAATATGGATGTAACAGACACTGTGAACACAAAGGAGCTGGTTTTTATCAGCTGGAAGAATTTGATTTTTTTGATGGGATACTGGGTTATTTCAAAGGTCTGGTTCAGAATATAAAGGGTAACTTCTGCACTGTGGAAATTTAATTTGTGAGGGCTTGTGATCTAGTTCAGGTTTCTATGCCACAGAATACTATTTACCCCAAAGATGCAGTGGTGATGGTCCCATGCTTCTGTGTGCAAACAAGGCAGGAACTGAATCCAAACTCAGTTCTAAGCCCAGCAGCCTCTCTTGCCAGCCCTTGAGGTGGAACGTAGGAGTTGGAGGCAAAGGGGCACCAATTTCCTTTCTGGATGTGGTTTCTTAAGGAGCTTCCCAGTTTCCAGTTAGGTGGCTGCCTGACCCATGTTGATATCGGCTAATCTGGCCATATCTTCTTCTAGGCATCCTCTCTTTCACTCTGGTTACACTTGTCAAAGCCAGGGCTTGAACCAGAAACCTTTAGGTCTTCAGCCAAATACTCATCCAACAGAATTAGTTTGGTGTGTCAACTTGTTAGTGCTTTTTTATTCATTTCTTTTAAAAATAAATAACTGACAGTTTCTGCTGGTGATCATCTCCATCTGTGTTGATCACAACTTTGATGCAGTAGGAGCTGTGGGTCTCGGAGTGCTTCAGTTCTCTTTGTTCTTGGCCTTTGTGCTTTTTGGTGGTTGTTGTTTTTTTTTGCCTGCATCTCTTCCTCTTCCCCTTTCATGCTTTAAAGATACAGAGAATCAGTCAAACATTGCAGTTGATTGTACCAAATATTGCTTTACCATGTCCCTCCTGGACAGGCATGGTTATGATATCCTGTGTCCCAGAGCAGAGCGCAGCTACCTCTGCTTTGGGAATCCCCACAAGCATCTGGATCATTGACAGAGCTACAAACAATTTTCTGGCTTTTTCCAGTGTTTCCTATAAGTGTGACATGAAGTTGACTTGGAGGAGAATTTCAGCTTGGTGTCACAAATGTTCCTTGAAATGGTTGATGTGTTCAGGATCTTGACTTATCAATGTGACTGGCATGTGTCAAGACTTCGATGCCTTTTAGTGTCTCACTCAGATAACTTATTATTGACTTCTCTTTGGAGCAGGCAATGCCTTACTCAAAGCACAAGATGAGATCTGTGTTGGGGGGAGTTACTGCTTGATTTCCAGCATGCCACCAACTTTGTCCCGTGTTCTGGCAGGCAATCATCTGAGTCTTCATTCTACCCGAACTCATTGTATAGGAGTAATAAATTAGATAATTGATCTGAGAAGACATCAAGAAATATTAATCACCCTAGTATTTCTTTCAGTTGGATTGTTTGTTTGGGTTGTCAGTCCCATATATCAAAACTAGATCCTGCTACCCCATTCTGGATGGGCTAATGAAGGAGGTGTGACTATTTTCATTCTGCCATGGTTATATCAAAGGCAAGAGGTAGGAAGTATTTCAGCAGGAAGTCACCAATGATTCTTTCCACATTCCCCTTAAGAGCTTGGGGGTGAAGGCTACTGTAGTCACTCAGGACTGGTCTGACATCCCTTTCTCTGAGACACAAGGACACCTTTGAGAGCAGGTTTTCCAATATGCAGCGCTTGCAACTTGCATTGGGAACAGCTGGTCCATGGGCCAGTAATGGATTGAGCTGAAGCAGGCAGAAATGCTTGAGTCTGTCTCTAATGCGAAGGGAGACACGTTCTGGTAACTGAATTGTGAGGTTGTGGAGAGAGCTGGACATTAGGCGCTTATGTTCTCCTGTCACTAGCACTGATGCTCACAGGTTTGCATGGCTATGCTAATCAAACCTTCATGCAGAGAACCTGACACAGGACAGAAGGAAATAGAAGGTATTTAGTTAATCGTACCTTTTGGAGCAGAGGAAGTGGCTTAGTGGATGCTGTTCTCTGGAGAAAGATGGGCCTCCCTTCAGAAAGAAGAGTTCTGTATTTTTTTGGACAATATGTTACTTATTTTGATAGGAATGAACGACACTGGCTGAAGCAGCAGGGCTGCTTGCTGTTCCAAGGTCAGGGGAGGGGAAACGAATAGCTTTGAGCTTGGCAAGTTCCTACCTTAGCCTCCTCTGGGAACTCAGACGTAGCCTTGTATCCCAGTGTATATCTTCCAGGATCAGTCGTGGCAAGTAAGCCGTTTCTCCTGTGTTGTTGAATCACTTTGTCATTGGCTTCTATGTTTAAATGTTGAATTTTTATCATCAATGTGACCTATTTTCCGTGTTCTTGATTGGTCTATTGACTGAACTTGTAGAAATGTATCCTTTGGGAAGTCAGGTGCTATGTTAACGTATGATCATTGTCGTTTCATGCAGCAGAACCCTGTAGGAGGGCATATCCCAATGATTATTTTTCTCTTAGGGAAATGAAGAAAAAGAAGCAGCAACATGACATAGAGGATTTAGAACCAGCTGAAGGAAAGGAAAGAGAGACCAGCACACAGCTCCCATCTTCTCCTGTTTCAAACAAGAGCATGTCAGCCCCTCTGCCCATGAAACGAGGGCAGAAGGTAGAATGGATGAAGCTGCAGAATTGATTAGATTTACCCAATGAAAAGGGCCCTCTGAAAGACACATTTCATATGTTTAATTTTTTTTAGCATTTGCCCAATATTCCAATTTGCATATTCAAACATCTCCAGGCATCTGACAAATTTAGACTCAGTTGAATAGTTGTCTGTGTTTAATAACAATTGTTGATTGACTAACTTTCAGCATTTCATATTTCTCTGAATAGAAATGACGTCTGTTGGGTTAATACAGTGCTTAAACTAAAAAGAATTAGAGACCAAATCCATATACCAGTGAAGGGTTGAGCTCTATGTTGATATTTGCAGAAATTCCTTTTTGTTGTTTGCTAAACTATTAACCCCCATTTTTCTTATCTGTAGAGTAAAATGAAAAAAATGAAAGAGAAGTACAAGGACCAGGATGAAGAAGACAGAGAGCTCATAATGAAGCTATTGGGTGTAAGCCAAAATAACTATGGCTTTTCCTTTGTATTGTTTGTTCTGTGCTTGAGTGTAGATTTAAATCATTTTCATATGTGAAATCTAGTCTGCAGGGTCAAGCAAAGAAGAAAAAGTGAAGAAAGGTAAAAAAGGAAAAATAAAAGAATCAGTAAAGAAACAAGCCCAGAAACCAAACAGAGGCCATCAGGTTGATGCAGGTCGTAAAGAAGAAACCCCCACGGTAGAAGTATTAACACATGAGTTACAGGACATGACTCTGGAAGATCAGCAGGAGGAGAAGGTAAACATTCTAGACACGTTTCATTCCCCACACTTTGCTGCTCAGGCTGTTAAATCATTACTTTATTGTACTATAAATATTAAACCGAGTCTGCGTAGTGCTTGCAGAACTACTTACTCTACTGCATTTGTGTAGTTGCCGCTTTTCTAGATCAGGTTGTTCTTTTTGAGAACAGTGTATCTAATGTCAGGACTAATGTTTAATAGTTGTAAGAGGCACCAACCCAAGAAACCAGGAGGGTGCTTCGCTGGAGCACAGACACACCAAAACTAGACGTTTGAGGGGTACGATGTGTGGCTGAGCTGTGCTGAGGATCTCTTAATGTCATACTGTATCAATTGTGCAGTTAAAAAAACAATAAAAGCTTTTGTAGATTGGCAGCTTGAATTTCAGTATTTCCACCCAAATCTGTCTCCTTCCACCTTTGCATGTGCCAAGGGAGTTTGGGGATAGAAAGAAAAACCCTATATAAAAATGCACTTCACTTAGCTCTCCCTTAAAATGGCATTCCATATGCATTGAGGAGACTGTGCCCACACATGGCTTTCTATCTGCTGTGAATATGACCCTTCTGGGAGAAGGATTCTGATGTTCTACAAGTGTTAATGTTTCCTTTTATTTACATATGTGGTGCAGGAGGAACAGGATCAAGACCAACAGGAAAATGAGGTAAATATTATCACCTTTACACTTCTAATAAAGTGCTAGAATAAAAGTGCTTAGAAAAAGTTTTTAAAAGTCTCTCTGCTCAACGCTGCCAATGGCCTGGACCCCAGGGTCCTATCCGCTAACCCAGTTTGAGGAGTGTCAGTGAGGCTAACAATTCCTAACTTGGAGGAGATCGGGCATGTCACAAAGGTGAAGCACTTAGCCACTATGCGTAATGACAGCTGAGGTTTACTGATTGTGACTTTGGTACAGACCCCATGAGTTCAGACATATCATCACTGCATTATAACTTGGCTTTTTCAGTCACAGTTAGGTTGCGAATGGTCAATCCAGGTATAAATGTTCCTTTATTATAAGGATCAAATCAGTTAAAGTTTTTCTAGTGGGGAGCTGAAATGTGACCTTCCTAGTCTCTCAGTTGTATGGCGGTATTAGTGCATAGTATTAAGGTAATAAATACACAAGTTCCAACAAAACTTGGGTAAAATAACAAGGATTTGACAAACCCATTAAGTAGTTTTCCCTTTGTCTTCACCTGATTAACTCCATCAAGACCTCAGAATAGTGGAGGATCCCAGATCCCTGATAGGCTGACACAATAAGTAAAATCTAACTGTGATAAAAATAGTTCTCAAGACAAAAAGTTCCAGTTTACTTAAAATTGTTTACTGTACTTTTTAAAAAGCCCTTTACCTTCAATGTACAAAGGATATATTTTCTCAAAAGCTTTCAGTAGATGTATTCCACACTTAGACAATTTAAAGAAATGGATTTATCTAAGAGGAAAAGTATAAACTTTCTTTCTATAATAACAAGTCTTAATTGACTATGCCAAAGTATAAACCAAATTTGGAAACTCCCCTTTACCTCATTTAAAACGAAAATCCATGTAATCTTGGACCTTCAGATTTTAATTATCAGATTTTTTTTTAAAAACTAGAGCTTCTCCATCATCTTTTGATAAATTGACTACATTTCAGTAATACTGTGACCACCGATTATGGTATGATATACACATGGGAATTATGACTTCTCTGCACTTGGGCTGTGAGGGAGAAGGACCAAATTCCAGCCTCTTCGGTAGTAAAAGATTGGGTTTATTTTTATTGCTTTAATTGTTGCTTTTTGTTTAAATGTTGTTTTTCTAGTTTGACAGCAAGGAATGTCTTTGCTATTTTAGGAAGGAGAGAGACTGCTAAATTCTTTGACAGGCCAGCCTCACTCGGAGGATATCCTCCTCTTTGCTATACCAATATGTGCACCTTACACTACCATGACAAACTATAAGTAAGTTGCAGCGAATTATCTGAAGAAGTAATGAATTTTAATTTGACAGATTGGCAGCACTTTGAGTTAGTTCCTTAACACCCGGTAAATGGTGTGATTTTTTTTTTCTTTTACAAGATACAAAGTGAAGCTCACTCCAGGCACCCAGAAGAAAGGAAAAGGTACTGTATACAGCACAAGTAGTCCTTTTCAACCCAGCAGCTCTTTAAGCTGGCACATGCCATTTAACATCTTCTTTCATGTACTTTTTACAGCTGCCAAGACTGCTTTGCATAATTTCATGCATTACAAAGAAGCTACCACAAGAGAAAAAGATTTATTTCGCAGTGTAAAGGTAAAGAGCCATCTTCTTGGCTTGTTCAAACTATTACAGCAAGAATGAAAGCAGCATTTAGTGCTATTGCTTTCTGTTTTGTTCTTGCATTACTATCTCTTCAATCTTGTATTTAGCTGTGACATTGAGTACCTTTCCCAGACATGAGGAAAAGCTCTGGGAAAGTCTCTTCTGCTCTCTTCCTCCCCCCCCCCCCCCCAGAAGTTGGTCCAATAAAAGATATCTCACCCACACCTTGTTTCTCCCTATTGGCATAGGAGATTAATAGACTTTTAAGGCCAGAAGGGACCATTAAATCATCTATTCCCAACCCCCAAGATTTACTCAGTTTCCCATCTTGAGCCTAATAACCTGCATTTGACTAAGTATACCTTCAAGAAAAGCATCCAGTCTTGATTTGAAGACAGCAAGAGCTGGAGAATCCACCACTTCCTTTCCGGTGGTTAATCACTGTTAGAATTTTGTGCTGTGTTTTTTTTTAATTGGTCTGATTCCAGCCATTGGTTCTTTTTCTGCCAGATTCAGGAATGCTTTAGACCTGGGTATTTTCTGTACATGAAGGTACATACACACTGTAATCAAGTCACCTCTCAAATCTTCTTCTTTTTGATAAAATACACATATTGAGCTTAGTCTCACTGTAAGGCACTTGCTCCAGCCCACAAATCATTTTTGTGGGTCTTCTATGTATTGTCTCCAATTTTTAAACATCAGAACTGTACACAGTATTCTAGTGTCTCATCAGTGCCCTGTACAGAGGTAAAATCACCTTCCTGCTCATACTTGCTATCCTTGTTTATACATCGAAGGGTTGCATCGCCCCTTTTTTGGCAGTCCCACTAGAGCTCATGTTCAGCTGCTTGTCTGGGATCCCTAAATCCTCTTCTGAGTGACTGCTGTCTAAGAGAAGTCTCCTGTTGTGCCTGCATTATTTGTTCCTAGATATGACCTTGCATTTTGCTGTATTCAAATACATTTACCAAGCAATCCAGATTACACTAACTGCCCTGTCCTCCTCATTTACCATTCTGCAAATTTTATTATCAATTATCTTATTTACTTCTAGATCCCTGATAAAAATGTTGAATAATCTGGCCGACCAACAGTTGTGGTGGAACCTTATTAGGAATGCACCCCTTTGATGATTCCTTGTTAACAACTACGTATATTGAATACTACTGAACAAAGTTATGTTCAGATAGCTGGAGTGTTAAGCATATATATGATCTGATGATCCATTGTTTTCCCTGGAATGGGTGGGAGGTGCAGTAAGTGTTAATGGTTCTTTATTCATTAAAAAGGGGAAGGTCTGAGCACACTGCATTTTCATCAATCATTTACTGAACTATCAGAGGGCCACTTTCTTTGGAGAAACAAGCAGAGATATGCTGTACTGTAAAGTGACAGTGACACATGGTTATCACTGATTCATGTGACATTATTACTTTGGTATTCAGAGAGGACTTGGGAGGCTGGGAAGGAGTGATTGTTGAACACTTCCTACTTAATTTTGACTCTTGATTTTGTTTTATAGGATACTGATTTATCAAGAAATATTCCTGGTAAAGTGAAAGTGTCTGCACCTAAGCTCCTGAACATGAAAAAGAAGTGAGTGTTGATCGTAAATCATGAATATGTGTTTGAACTGCTACTCCTGCTTCAGAAGAGGATAGACACAAACCTGCCATCTGGACCTCTTCCAATTTTGCTAATAAAGTAAAATAGCTATAATCAGTTGGACTAAATTTAAGAGGCAGAGGTGAACTGTTTCCTGCATCTGACCCTGGCCTACATCTATTTGTATGGACTTTAAATTACATGTAGCATGTGACTCCTCTGAAGTGCACAAGTAAAGTACTACTGGCCTTAGCTGTCAAAGGCAAGACTGATTTTGGACTGATCCTCTTTCTAATGCTGTGAGGACTGGCCCAGACCCAGTCCATTCTCTCCTTACTGCCTGCTCTAGCTCATGCTGCAGCAAAAGTCCTGCTGCTTGTTCTTTTCAGCTCTCCTTGGGCAAAGGCCAGGATTTAAACATATTACCCTGGTTGGAGCCCTCTTTCTAGTCAGAACATCTACTCCCATGTTTAGGAATGAAGATAGATTGATAATGTTTACCAAAAGCCTGTACAGTCATAGGGTAAGAAAAACCCTGCAAGGACAAAAATCCAAGTCTTGCTTCTGACTAGTCAGCTGCAGTCACTTACTGGCAGTGGAGCACCACCATGCCACATTATGAATGAATGGGGAATAGTATAATACTTTGTCCATATTGGGGGGATTTTATATGTACTATACCTCTGAGCAGACAAAAAAACAGAGTACAGCTCAAATAAAATGCACCACTACTGTTCACCCTAATGGAGAGCATATAAGACAGCTAATTAAATTATAGTCAGAATATTCAGTTTATTATAAAAAGAAATGAGACAATAAGGGGAGTGCTGAAGTCACATTGTTCCAATATTTAAATCACAAGCCATTTATTAGTTTCTCAACCCCTCCACTGTATCAGTGGTGGCCTATGCCTTCTGGGAGACAATGAGCACAGTTAAGGCAGAGCCAGAAGGGCCTTAGTGCTGGTTGCTGCTCACATACAATCTACTTTCAGTAGTTTTAAAACTAGTGAAGCTGAACAGAGCCTGGCAGCTGTTAGTCATCAGCTTCACAGCATGCATGAAGCTCTGGATCTAGAAGCTGCTGAAGGAAACAGCACATTAATAATCAAGTCATTCCTGGGAAACTGGCAGTTTGTACTTTTGGCTACTCCTAGACATGCATGGTCCAGTTTGACTAAAGCATTTTCACAATTAAGACAGAATACATCTACTCACACTTACAGCTCTTAAATAACCCCACAACATGACACTTAGTCACCATCCCTCTGTTTGTTTTTAAACAACTCAAACTAGACCTTAAATTGGTGAGCTAATCCCTGGACTAAATTAGAATAGCAGTTTCTCTAACCTTAAACTCATGTGGCCAAACATGTTAGGAATCTGTTTTATTCCTATCAGTGAGATGCTAATACAGACTAAAACTACTTTATCATGTTGAATAATGCTAGAGTGTCATTGTTCTTTAATATTAATGGTGTCCCAAAGAACATTAATGCCTGAAAATACTTCTAGCATTTGCCAAACTTTAAGGCCCAGAAATTCAGCAACAACCTACAAATCCTCAAAGGGTAACTCCTTAAACAGCATTTCCCTGCATTGACACACTCTGAAGTAATTTAGGTTAGAGTAGTTTTCCTATCATCACATAATGAAGTGAGTGGCATTAAGTTGAACAAACCATTACTGGTTTAACTTAGCTTAGGCACTGATACATTTCAACTTGCATTAAATACATTTATTGCAAACATCTTTACACAAAAATAGGTTCTCTCTAAGCCATTCACATGCAACTTACAACCAACAAGCTACTACCGCTGACAATGCAGATATTTATACAAGTTTCACGTCTGCCACAGGTGGTTGGTAAAATTATTACATCTTTTAGAATTGCTCATCCACGCACACCTTCACAGAAGTAACTGACAGAAGTCTTAAGAGCCAGATGTATTGTTACTTCCAAACCGCTGATTGACACTGTGAAGCAAGTGCTTTGGGAGGCAGGTCCATGAGTTGGCTAATATCTCTTTGAAGCAAATGACTGCTTCTAGGCACAGCCTTGGAAAAAGAATGAATATTTCAGTTACTATTAAGAACATAAGTGAAATAGCACCAAAGGTAAGAATTCTGTTTCTTAAAGCTGTTTAGTTGACTTGTTCCCCCCAAAGTATTAGCTGTTTTCACTGTCAGAGGATTATAAAGTCTTTACATAAGAATGGAAGCAGCAAGACTCCTTCCATTACTGAATGCTACTTCAGCTTTCCTTGGGGAATGTTATTAACTCCCAAGTATGCCTAGGAACCATGATTTGGTACTAAAGTCTATGTAGTCAAAGTACAAGGTATTAGTAAATGAGAAGGGAAGAACAAAGGTGTTAGATTCAAAAGTGTATTTTTTTTTTTTTTTACCTTACAAGAGATTTTGGTTGCAGAGAAAACACAAGTATTTCATTACTATGAGCCTGGAAAGAGAGATGTTAATTAATATTTGAAGCCTTATTGTTAAATGCATTGATAAGTTAATTCCTTAAGCAGCAAAAGTTTCTCCTTTAAACACAGTGAAATTTTCCTGTGGCACTGAAAGTCTTAGTCACTGATGACAGAGAAATGCGTTTCACAATTGGAGGTTGCAGTTGAAGTGACAGATGCTAAGGGGGTGGGGGTGTCTCACTTTTAAAAAAAACTTGTTCTCCACCCAGCAGTACTAGAAATTCTTAAAACCAGACTTACGGCTTTGTGATGGGCAAGCAAGTTGTTGGCACAGCCACCAAAAACAATGACCTCTCCTTCTTCACTCGCACAAGCTGTATGCCACAGCCTGTAAAATGAACAAGCCCCACATTTATTAAAGAGAGAGGGGAAGAGTCCGAGTATAGCATTAATACCATTAGAGAGACACTGTGAGATAAGAGGTGATATTTATACGCAAGGTTGATGCAGGCAGCTTATTTTAGGCATGTAATAACTTCTAGCAAAAGTAAACAATGACTTCAGTGGCTAAAAGTTACTATTCTTTCTACACAAATCATATTGGAGATATCCACTTTGTAAGCTGTCTGGGTGGAAAAGCAAAGTACTGCTGAGTGGTTCTAAGGTCTGATGACAGGCACTCATGAAGTTCATCTTTTGAAAGTAAACTAAAATTTACAGTAATCCTAGTTTGGGTAGCTGAAAGGTTTGTGAAGAAATATTGTTTGAAGGTAGAGCATTCTGTTTTTTTAAATCAAGCCAGTCATATCCGAGGCTTCCAGTTTTTGAGCCGAAGGAATCAGTTACAATAAGATTCTCCAAACAATGAGACAAGGTGAACCCTCACCATCCACACTATCACAGTCCACCTGCTGTCTAACTCATATTACCGATACACCTTAGCTGCCTTATAGTACTTAAGTCAAATTTCAGTGTTTTTAATCAAGCATCTGAAAAAAGTTATTTAAATTTCAACATAACTATAAGGCAGGTTTCTGAACCCTGCAGGAAGATCAATTGTAAGAAAGGTGCTTGGGGTAGGACAAAGGTTAGCTCTAGTAGATTACTACAGTCTGACTACAAAATTTTGCACAGTGAGGAAAGAGTACTTCCCCATATTGCCCTTCCTAAAAGATTAGCCTTGTTAACTAGCTATAGTATGCTCAGGGCTGACCACCGCATAAATTATGATACTGGATCAGACCAGTGGTCCATTCAGTCTGGTATCTTGCAGCTGGGGTCAGTACTAGACACTTCAGTAAGAGATAAGTAGTGTCATACTAAGCAAGTTATCCTACACCCGTCCCATCAGTTGAGGCTGGCTTAGGCCTAGAAGCATTATGGTTTATCATCATTCTAAAACATTTTATCGAACGTGGGCTTGTCTACACTACCGCACAGGGTCGATCTAAGATACGCAACTTCAGCTCCGTGAATAACGTTGCTGAAGTCGACGTACTTAGATCAACCTACTGCGGTAAGTCGACTCCAGTAAGCTCCAGTCGACTCTGCTTGCACTCCTCGTTCTGGTAGAGTACCGAGTTGAGGGGAGAGCACTCAGCAGTCGATTTATCACATCTAAAATCGACCCCTCCTGGCACGTAGTGTAGACAAGCCCTGTGACTGTGCTTAGTCTAATCCATGAGTGCAATCTTGGATCTCTGTCTCAGTTGCAACTTGTACCAACACGTTCCATGGACCACTTATGCAAAAGAGTATTTCCTTCTCTAAGTTTGTTACCTTCCGCTTTTATTCAGCGTCCCTTTGTTTTTAGTACAATAAAGTGTAAGAGTACCCCATGCCTTCCCTATACCGTTATCTTGTATCTTTCTCTAAACAGTCCCAGTTGTGTGAATCTCTTCATATCCAAGTCTTTCCATGCCTTTAATTATTTTTTTGACAAACATCTCTGAACTCCCTCTATTACAGCTTGAAATTGGGTGACCAGAACTGAAAAGTATTCCAAACGAAGATGATTTATGGTGACATTACAATGTTTTCCATCCCATTTTTATGCACCCTAACACTGTTAATTTTATGACTTTGGCCATGTAAAAGATAACGGTCTCTATTTAGACAAAGTCCATCCAGCAAAGTACTCTGACGCAGAGCCAGCTGTCAGCCAGGGCAATCAAAGCACTGCAATTCCCCGTATGTCCAGAGCAGCAGTTTTGAAGAATCATTCTGCTAGTAGACCGAGCATGGATTTCCAAGTCTGGCATGTTAAGGTCTACTCTGCCTGGCGAGTACTAGAACTTTGTGTACTAACACCACTAAAATGGACATTCTAGTTAGTTCTCTGCCATTTTACAGGCTAATAGTTACGCAGATAAGTAAAGTATCAGCTGATAGCGGAGTTCCAAACAGTGTAGTCAGAGAGATATGCTGGAGTCTGTATCAGTATAGACATACAGCTACCTTAATCCTGCACCTTCATAAAACAGGATGTATTATTGTGGTGGGGTAAGAGAAACCAATTTATCACTACTTTACTTTAAAAAAAGATGCTGTATTAGTGAAAGAGTGATCCGAGTCCTTTGTGTGCTGTATCAACGCTACAGACCGCCCCCTAAGATTTCCTAGATACACATACTGGTTTTTATACATTTCCAAGAATGTGTGTACATCTTACCTCGGTTTTTCAGAATAATTATGCTCAAACTGTTTCCACTCATTCTTACTGATACAATAAATCCAAGCATCACCTATAAACACAAAGATATATTAACCCTTGTCACTGTTGCCAGAACAAGCATGTTCTGGTATAACCTAAGAATATAGTGTTTAACCATGTGTGTGTCCAATTCTTCAGGACTGAAATTTACAATTTTTGGCTGGCTGTGTGAAAACTTGCTCTCGCTGCTGGCTTTCTGTGGCTAGGACAGAGTAGAGAGAGGCAGATGGGGAACCTATGCTTTTATCCCTTGCCCATACCCACAGCAAAACTTTCATTCAGGAATAAAGTTTATAACTTTACAAACTTCAAAAATTGTAAATTATCAGCTCTGAATGAGAAGTGAGAGTGTAGTGGTTTTGTAGAAAAAGAAAAATACAGCCACAAAGTTGAACATAAATTACTAATCATCTCCTCCTCCTCTCTGGTTCCCACTCCACATGACTGCATGTACAGGAAGCCTTTACACACAAACACTGAAATCCTTATTTATGTTTTTGAATATATGTGCTGTTAAGTCAAGTCAAATTATACACATGTATAGGTACATAGTCCTCTTTACATCTTTCCATTTATGGAAGGAAGAGAAATGTCTTATTTTAAATTCCTTCTAAAACACAACAGACCAGACAAATGATGGAACGCTTTTCCTTGCAGAAAACAGTATACCTATGAAAACTAGATGTAATATTATTAATGAAGTTTTCATAAGCCTCTCTAAATGTGCATCTGGTCTTGATAAAGTTCACAAAACAAAAAGCTGATTACATGTTGAATTAGACAAGAGTAGTGTTGCTTTTCTAATAACCATAAGAAATCATTCACATGATGGCCAGTCTGTTGATGATGCAATTCTTGTTTTCCCCTGGGGCTAGACAGTGTAACTCTTACAATTTGGGGGACAGGTACAGCCATCTTACCACTCTGGGAGTAGTCTGCCATCACATGTTCCATTCGTCTGAATGGATTTTACACCACACAAGGGAGTTGACTATAATCAAATAGCACTTTTCAAAGATAAGCCTAATAACCTTCAGTATTGACAAGGCTGAATAAGTCTACAGCAGGTCACCTAACTACACAGGTTTGCACATTGCTGGAAAGATTAAGAAATGAGCTCTCAGTGTCTGATTGGGCGTGGGATGCTCTATTTAAAAAAATGCCACTGCTGCTATGAGAAGTGAACAATGAGCACTGCAAAATGTCACCCATGGGAATAGTCAATGGCTAGGACACTAGAGGGGGACTCAGGAGACCTGGGTTCAATTCCCAGCTCTGCCACTGGTTTGTTGGATGACCTTGGGCAATTCACTTAACCCATGCCTCAGTTTCCCCATCTGTAAAATGGAGACAGTGATATTGACCTTTATAAAGCACTTGGAGTTCTATGGGTGGAAAGCACTAGGTATTACCGAGGCACTGTTAGTAAAGAGTTTACAGTTAAACAGACACTTGAGCATGCAACTGTATAGAATTTGGAGAGTATAAAGTTTCCTTGGAATTACTTACTCAGTGGCTGCTTATCGGTGGTAAACCCTCCAAAGAGAAATAGGTGATCTGATGAAACTGGAGTTAAGGAATGCCAAGATCGGCCTACTGGGCAAATGCCTTGTGTAATTCTGCATTTAAACAAAAAAGCACCCCAAGTTACAGACCAGCTAAAACACAATGCAGACTTTTTGGGTTGCAATGATTTTTCAGATATTAAATCCATGCAGCTGAGTATTGGATGCTAACTTTGACCAACTATCAGCAACAATTCAGTTCCTTGTTGAGGATGGCACAGTTCATTTCTCAATGATTATAGGTCAGACTTCCTGGAAAGAGTTATTGCAGACAGACTAATCCAATGAAGACAGAATAATCTCAAATAATGGCAGTCTGAATGGCAGAAGGAGTTTTCCTCATCTCCAGGCACTTTAAAATTAGTGATGGCCAGTGAAACAAGGTACTAGAACATAAACATTCAAAAAGCAGTGCATTTGATGGTAAATACTTTGAAGTTCTGTTAGAATGATTTGCAGGTGAAAAAGCACATTTACAAATACAATGATATACTGCCTTGAAAAAAAAAAAAAAAGACTAAAGAGCTTTGATACCTACATTTCATTCCACTCCCATGTGTCCAAATTAAGATGATAAAGATCATTCATTCTAGAATCCTAAAATAAAATAGATAAAAGTTGAATGAAATATTCACTTTAGAGATTCAGCAGTAACATTGTAAAACTGTTCTTACACTTACTCGGTATCTGCCTCCAAAC